TTCTGAAAAAAAAAAAAAAATATAGAAAAAGCCTATAGGCTGGAAAGTGTTGAGTACTGTTCTCTCAATACCAAGCAGGAGAGTAAAGGAAACATGAAAACTGGAAAGACATGCTGCTCTAACACAACAGAAAAGTGGTGAGTAGCTCTAAATTAAAAAAGAAGCTTATGCCACATACTCAAATGAGGCAGGATGCCATACACCAGTGAGTGCTTGGTAGACATGAAGCAGAGGAGTACACTTACTTCTTGGCAGCCCAACCCAAACAGTCTTCTGACCTGCATGGACTATGCCTCTTCTCCCTGTGACCTAGGGATGAGTAGAGAAAGGGAATGGAATGTCATTTACATAGTGTTTACAATCACTGTGCAGATCAAAGTAACCCTGAAATTGGGGACTAAAGTGGGGCAGGCAGAGGGATATGAGCTCTACTCACCCTCAGGTAGCAGGGAGAGCTCAGGGAATCAAGAAATTTGGAGGAAAGGCAAGGCCAGTACTTGTCCTGCACCTGTGCTGAACCCAAAAGAAAGGTGCTGCCTTTCTTGCTATTACTGCAGCCCCAGGATCAAAGTCAGGATCCAGCTCCATCATGACTGGATGAGCAGCCTGTCCTGGGCTGAGCCAAATCTATCAAATATCAGGCTTGTATCTATAGCAGATGCTGATCTTGTGCCTTGAACCATCATCTACCAGCACTTTCCCAGAAACTCACGAAGTAGGAGAAAATGACACGCTTGGGCCCATGTTCCAGGTCTTCCTGGTAAATTCTGAAGTCCACCTGGATAACCTGCTTTATACCACAGGGCATCATTTCCGGCACACGAGCAATGGAGAGAAAACTCCTGCTGGTGCTGTAAAATGGATGTATGACATGAGAGGCTCGCTGGTAACTCAAATCAGCTGTCCCAGGCTCGTTATCCAAATCTTGATGTAGGACACTTGCCTGATGAGACAAAAACACCCACCACAGTTAATTTCACTAGTCAAGCAAGTTAGCTGCAAATCACCCTCGCTGCAGCTTGGGAAGAAGCTCAGACCAGTTTGAGCAAAACCACAGCACAAGTCTCTGTGTGATGAGTTCATGAAGAAAGTTACTGGGATCCAGAGAATAAGCTCTCAGAGGGAGTCAAGATCCAGAACATGCTGAGGTGTTTTGGGAGATGTCTGTGGGGCAGTAAGTAGATCTGAGATGCATGAGTACCTCTCCCAGCAAAACAGCCCCTTCACTTACCTCCAGGGAAGCTGAGGTGCTGTTCCAAGCAGTTGTGTTCAGGCTAAATGAAGCCGTCCCGGAGTCCCCAGTGATGTACCTCTGCTTAAATTGCTGCCCCCTGCAGCTTACTAAGAGGAGGACTTCTTTGTGCTTCATTGCCTTGCCTTGGTAGTTGATGACTCTGATCTGAGAACATAGTAGTGAGCAAAAGAAGTGCTGAAGAGTATAGTCAGCAGACAAAATCTCCTACCTCTTCAAGTCAGGAGTAACATTTCCACAGACAGCAAGGTCACCCTTCCAGTCACTAACAGTATTAGTGATACTACTACTGGTCACCTCCTATTAACACTTGCACTGTCACGTTAATTCGCCCTTATACTCTCTACCCTTTCACACCAGAAGGACTCCTGGCTGCTGAAAATTCCAAACGTTTAGGTTTGCACCCCACAGATAGATCCCTATAGCTGCTATTACTAAAGGCTTATTTGGCAAATGGTATTATTGGGTGATTTTCTCACTTTTGAGAATTCAAGTGTTTTGTCTCTTCATGCCAACCCAAGCCCCAGGCTGGAGGTAAGGTCACACAAGACGATGGGTACCAATCACAGTGCTCACTATCTCCCCTCCGAAGTATTATAACTGGGAATTACCTTCCCCCTGTACATGTCTCCAGCGTGGTAGTAAGAATTGACATCATCAAACAAGGCCATCCCGGCAATCTTGGACATGAGTAATTTATGGGAAGCATTGACGTGTGTCTCTGAGTGAAAGCAGCAAGACAGAAACATAAGGGAGGGAGCAAGGAAGCCAAGCATCCCTAGGAAATTTCCCTTCAGAATGACCCACTGGAGATACTGATACTGTTCAGCCACAGATACATTTCAGCAGGGAGATGATCTGCCCAGGGTTCTAGCTATCTAGTCTTCCTCATCCTTATTTCTAGACCTTAGAAAGGTCCCTAAGCTTCACCACCTGAGACCAGAGGCACTCAGAGTGAGCGTGTTATGCTGCCAGGAGCTGGTGGCTGGTAGCTGTGAGGCTAGAGCGCAGGCCACTGACAGGCTCAGAAAGCTCAGAGCCCTTGCTAGCCTGAAAGTCTCAAGTGTTCTTGCATTAGTGCATTTCTATATGCCTCTTCCCAGCCACCAGGGATGTTCCCAGAGCTACCTGTGCCATCCTCCACCAGCGAGGCCTCTGCAACGATGCTGTCCCGGTAGTACCGAAAGTCTCGACTGAAGGAGGACAGACTCACAATCATGAAGAAGCAACCTGTCTCATCTGTCTGGAAGCACAGAAAAAGGAAATAAAGTCTGAGCAAGGCACTCGTTAGAAGTTACCCCAGTGGCACAGAAAGAGCAGCACAGAATCCCTGCTTTAGGGGAGCTTGCCTTTTGACGTGGCAGCCCAGGATGTGCAGCAGGCACGTGATGCACCCCTGGTCACAATCATCAGGCACAGTTACTAAGAGACAGCAAGTAACTGCTGCTCTCCAAGCAGCCAAAACCACAGAGTGACATCACTGTTATTTCAGTTACATCTTCCAGCATCCTTGCCTTACTCTAGGGCTGAGCACTAGTACTTCTCAACCCAACTCATCTCCTGCTAAGCATCTCACCCGGTTGTTGAATTCCTGACAGAGATCAGGTTTGGAAGCACTTGGCAGGAACAAGGCTATCTTCTGACAAAGGCTGACATGAAACATCCCCTGGACGCCTTTCCTATAGGTGTACCTGTTTGGGGAAGCAGGGGAAGGAGGAGACAGTCACACACAGTGAGACAACACAGGGCTTGCTCTTCAAAGCCTCAGAGACTACGTATTCACAATATTGTGTAAGAGTGGCTGCCATACAGCAGGCCCAGGAGACCTGACTCTGTAAGCAGGGTTGGGCTACTGCACTGCAGTGGTGGGAGACCAAGGGCTCTGTGATATAATTAGTCCCAGACCAATCTATTCTGGGGAATCATAGTTATTAAGGCTGGAAGGGACCTTAACGATCATCAAGTTCCAACCCCCCTGCCATGAGCAGGGAACCCCACCACTAGACCACGTTGCACAAAACCTCATCCAACCTGGCCTTAAAAACCTCCAGGGGTGGGGCATCAACAACCTCCCTGGGCAACCCATTCCAGCTCCTCGCCACCCTTACAGTGAAGAATCTCTTCCTAATATCTAACCGAAATCTCCCCTCTCCCAGCTTAAAACCATTACCCCTTGTCCTATCACTACCTTCTCTGATGAAAAGTCCCTCCCCAGCTTTTCTGTAGCCCCTTTCAAGTACTGGAAGGTGCTATAAGGTCTCCCCAGAGCCTTCTCTTCTCCAGGCTGAACAGCCCCAACTCTCTCAGCCTGTCTTCACAGCAGAGGTGCTCCAGCCCTTTGATCATCTTAGTGGCCCTTCTCTGGACCCTCTCCAACAGCTCCATGTCTTTCTTGTGCTGAGGGCACCAGAGCTGTATGCAGTATTCCAGGTGGGGTCTGACCAGAGCAGAGTAGAGGGGCAGAATTCCCTCCCTGACCCTGCTGGCCACACTTGTTTTGATGCAGCCCAGGATGCAGTTGCTCTCTGGGCTCTAGCACACACCGGCATCTCATGTTGAGCTTCTCATCAACTACCACCCCCAAGTCCTTCTCCTCAGGGCTTCCCCCCAGCCATTCTCCCTCAGCCTGTATTTGCGCCTGGAGTTGTGCTGACCCAGGTGCAGGACCCTGCACTTGGCCTTGTTGAACTTCATGAGGTTGGCACTGGCCCAGCTCTCCAGCCTGTTGAGGTCCCTCTGGATGGCATCCCTTCCTTCTAGGGTGTCAACCACACCACACAGCTTGGTATCATCAGCAAACTTGCTCAGGATACACTCAATCCCTCTGTCCATGTCCGCAACAAAGATGTTAAACAGCACTGGCCCCAATACTGACCTCTGAGTGACACCACTCGTCACCTGCCTCCATTTGGACACTGAGCCATTGACCACAACTCTCTGGATGCAGCCATCCAGCCAATCTCTTATCCACCGAGTGGTCCATCTGTCAAATCCATGCCTTGTCAGTTTGGAGACCAGGATGTCATGTGGGACAGTGTGAAAGGCCTTGCACAAACCCAGGTAGATGACGTCAGTTGCTCTGCCACCATCCCCCATCTCTGCAGCCTTGTTGCAGAAGGCCACCAGATTGGTCAGGCACGACTTGCCCTTAGTGAAGCCATGTTGGCTGTCACCAGTCACCTATTTATTTTCCATGTGCCTTAGCAGACTTTCCAGGAGGATCTGCTCCATGATCTTGCTGGGCACAGAGGTGAGACTGACTGGCCTGTAGTTCCCTGGGTCTTCCTTTTTACCCTTTTTAAAAAATAGGGGCTGGTTTCCTTTTTTTCCAATAAGCAGGAACCTCACCAAACTGCCATGACCTCTCAAACATGATGGACAGAGGCTTAGCAATTTCAGCCACCAGCTCCTTCAGGACCTGTGGGTGAATCTCATCAGGTCCCAGAGATTTATGCACCTTCAGGTTCTTCAGATGGTCACAAATCTGCTCTACACCTATGGTGGGGGGTAATTAATTCTCCCAGTCCCAGCTTTCACCTTCTGTGGCCTTCATGTTGAGGAACTAGAATGTTGCAGATACTGACTCAGCACAGAGCACTGCACTTTACGTCGGCACCACCTGCAATAACCCAAGGAGGATATGCTGGTATCCATCATCTTAGGAGAAGCATGGGTGATTTTAAAAGTGCCTTTCATTAAGAAAGCACCTTTACATGAGGCTGTTAGCCCTAACGTGATTCTTGGACTGTACCTGGGGCAATTCTTTTTTGCCTCTAGTTTCCACTAGTGCATAATCTGGAAAAGCTTCTCTTAGTTACCCATGAGTTCATTCTACAGGGAGATTAACACCAAACATCTGCCATGTTCTGCCCCACAGCTGGTGGCCTGTCAAAGGGTAGGTTGTTCCCCCAGGTTTTGTGTGTAGAAATCTGTGGAATGTTTTTAGAAAAGGGGCATTAGAGTTCCAGAAGGATAGTTATAGATATGTTTTGTATTGCATCAAGGTGCAAACAGCTGCTGTGGAAGCTTGTTTCCTCCTATAACTGAAGACTAGCAGCTCTTCCTGGTTACCTAGCCATTTTGTGCTCATCAGGGCAAAATTTAATAAAGGGCCATCCCTCCATGTAGAATTCTCACCTGCCACAGACACGAAGTGGAAAGGTTTTATCTAGTGCATAAATTTGATCTGGTGCCTCAAAGATCACTTCAAATTTTGCTGGAACTGGAAGGAAAAAAGAAAAAACTGTAGGAAACATTTGCCAGGGACAGCCTTTCCAAAGAATCAACGTGATGGTGGAATAAATGCCAGAAACTGGAGTAGAAAGGTGGTGATAAGGGGAAAGGGAAGATTTCCATTGTTTCTTTAACAGATTAATGCATAGATTCTGGCTGATTACTCCTTCCCATACTAAAACCTGAATATATCCATGTCCTTGCACTTCCGACCACTGTTTGCACTGAGAGAAGTCTAGTCTCCCAACACAGTTATTTAGGGCGTGAAAGAGAAGTGGGATACCATGGGACTTCATACTCTGCAAAAGCCCATCCTAAATGACTTTGTTTTATCTGATGCAGAGATGTGCAGAAATCAGCTGTGTCAAGGATCTGGAATCATGCACAACAGTCCTCCCACAGGGGGACCCAATCTCCCAAAGTGACTTCTCTCCCAAGCCTCAGCTCAGCCTCTTTCTGTGACACATGCTATTACTTTTCCTATTTGCTCTCAGGACTAACACCATGGAATAAACACCCAAATTCCTGGCTCAAAACTGCAAGGGCCTCTCTGCAGCTCAGATATATCCCCCCTGTGCTCATACCGTGCTCCTCAACGGAGAAGTTGCCATGTGCTCTGTGACTGGTTACATTGATGATGTAAGTCCCCAGTAGAGGCTCATCACTCAGCTGGAAAGACAGATCTGCAATGCCATCCTGGGGGACCACATTCAGCCACTGCTCTATCCGGTTGTTCTTAGGATCCTACACCCACAGGAAAGGAAGAACCAGTTGTTCCAGCATCTCATTGCTCCACACCCCATAGAAATGGAGCTTCAGGACTTCATTATTGTAGACTACCAGGTTCTATAGGTAAGGAATGAGGTTTGGTATAGGCTAGTCAAGACATTTTGAAGACAATATAATGCTCAGGTTCTGCTCCTCAGCATCTGAATATCCTTCTACACTTATTTAAATTCTGATGTTGAGGTAAGATCCTTCACACTTCTAACTTTTTTCACAAAGGTCCAAGTTGATCTGTCAGTACTCTTGCAGATCTACAACTCATATTTGTAATGAAGTAACCTCAAGCGAGTGCATAAGGGGTATGTTAGTCCATAAATTAATCTACCAGGTAGTTAATATAAACAGCCCAGTGAAATGGCTGCCATCATGTTACTTTAACACTAGATTTCAGCTTCACTCACCTGGAGAAACAGGGAAATCTATTGGGGGAGAAAAAAAAAGGCAAAAACATTAGAAGACAGAAACATGCCAGTAACACACAAGGTACCTCAGATACAGAGCCATCTTTGAAGGATGTGCAACTAGTGTTTTGGAAATTCAGAGCACTCACAACAATATAAAATTTTTAAAAAGTCACCAAAAAGGAAAAAAACACAAGTGGATCCATTACAGATAGGTCTGGAGAAAAGGAAAATCCAATCTGGAGGTCACCCAGCACTTGCTAATGACTTCCTGGCAGAGGTCTCCATCAGGTAAACTCACTGCTGAACTGGATCTAGCTCTGTCTCAGGTGAAGTCTTAAGGGGGTTACAAAGATATGGGATCACATAGTTTGGAAGGAACCTCTGGAGGTTGTCTGGTCCAACACCTTGCTCAAGCATGTCTTCTTACAGCAGGTTGCTCATAGCCTTCTCCAGCTGAGTTTTTAATACCTCCAAGTATGAAAATACTTGTTTCAGTATCTGATTATCATTGCAATGAAATGCACCAATATAGATTAGGGTTTGACCTGCTAGAAAGCAGCCCCATGGAGAAGGTCCTGGTGAACAACGAATTATCCATGGAACATCAGTGTGCACTCATGGCTAAGAGAGCCAGTAGTATCTTGGGATGTGTTAAGAACGGTGTGGTCAGCAGGGCAAGGGAGGTTCTCCTCCCCCTCTGCTCTGCCCTCATGAGACCACATGTGGAGTGTTGTGTCCAGTTCTGGTCTCCCCAGTTCAAGAGGGACAGGGAGATGCTGGAAAGAGTCCAACAGAGAGTTATAAGTATCTGTCATACTAGGATAGGCTAAGAGACCTGGGGCTGTTTAGTTTCGAGAAAAGAAGACTAAGAGGGGACCTAATTACTGTCTATAAATATCTGAAGGGTGGATGTCAAGAATGGGCCAATCTTTTTTCAGTGGTGCCCTGTGATAGGATGAGGGGAACTGGCATCAATTTGGAACACAGGAAGTTCCACCTCAACATGAGGAAGAACTTCTTTACTGTGAGGGTGATAGAGCACTGGAACAGGCTGCCCAGAGAGGTTGTGGAGTCTCCTTCTCTGGAGACTTTCAAGACCTGTCTGGAGGAGTTCCTGTGTGATCTGCCTTAGGTGTTCCTGCTGCAGCAGGAGGGTTGGACTTGATGGTCTTCAATTATCATTGCAATGAAATGCACCAATATAGATTAGGGTTTGACCTGCTAGAAAGCAGCCCCATGGAGAAGGTCCTGGTGAACAACGAATTATCCATGGAACATCAGTGTGCACTCATGGCTAAGAGAGCCAGTAGTATCTTGGGATGTGTTAAGAACGGTGTGGTCAGCAGGGCAAGGGAGGTTCTCCTCCCCCTCTGCTCTGCCCTCATGAGACCACATGTGGAGTGTTGTGTCCAGTTCTGGTCTCCCCAGTTCAAGAGGGACAGGGAGATGCTGGAAAGAGTCCAACAGAGAGTTATAAGTATCTGTCATACTAGGATAGGCTAAGAGACCTGGGGCTGTTTAGTTTCGAGAAAAGAAGACTAAGAGGGGACCTAATTACTGTCTATAAATATCTGAAGGGTGGATGTCAAGAATGGGCCAATCTTTTTTCAGTGGTGCCCTGTGATAGGATGAGGGGAACTGGCATCAATTTGGAACACAGGAAGTTCCACCTCAACATGAGGAAGAACTTCTTTACTGTGAGGGTGATAGAGCACTGGAACAGGCTGCCCAGAGAGGTTGTGGAGTCTCCTTCTCTGGAGACTTTCAAGACCTGTCTGGAGGAGTTCCTGTGTGATCTGCCTTAGGTGTTCCTGCTGCAGCAGGAGGGTTGGACTTGATGGTCTTCAGAGGTCCCTTCCAACCCCTATGATTCCATGAAAAACTTTGTCCTAATGCAATGTCTAATCAGAATTTTCCATGTTCCAAGTTGTAGGAACCAGATTAAAAGCACCTTTCCCCAGCACGCCTTCAGGAAAACCTGATTTTCAGATTATTGTCTCCCCACATGACACCATCACATCAGGAATCAGTGTGTCCCATGTTGGTACTTGCATGACCATTTTGCCAAGATGAGCAAGAGACATGTACACCTCTGTCATCTTGCTGAGTCAACAGCTTTTACTTGAGTTACTATTCTCCTGTGGATACTCATCAAGCGTAGTCCAGGGATGAATGTGGAAAAGTTCAAATTTTGGCAGATGAGCAAGGTAGAAAGGAAGTGGGATCTACACACAGAACAAGGCAGCCTTTTCCACATCCCTGCAGGGCTGACTTACCGAGTTGTTGAGTGCAACGAATTCCTCATCTAGACTCACAATGCGAAACTTCACTGTAGGCAAGGAAATCAGGAATATATTTATCAGACCTCAGTCCTTCTGTATGGAACCCTGCTTTGTCTGTTTCCCCAGCTCCTGTCTCCATTTTATACACATTTGTGATAACACCAGATGCAGGCGTCGCCACATGAGAGTCCCCATGGACAAGGACCTATTGCATCCCGCAACTTGATAGTCAGCACAAGCTAGACATTGCAGTCACTGGAAAACATCACATCAACAAGAGACATTGTCTCAAAGACTTCTGCTAGGACTGTCCCTGAGTTTCAGGCAGTTGTGGACTTTCCACATTGTGTTACCAGCAGAAAGTCTAGAGCCTACAGGTGCTCCCATTGGCAGCTCTCACCTGTCTGCCCTGGTTGATAGATGGGCTTGTCTGTTTGGATGAAGGTGCCAGTGCTGGCCTTACGGACCAGGACCCTTTTCTTCTCCTCAATACTGACTCTTTCACCTGTGATGATCAGTTTGACAGTGGCAATCTCCTCTGTGCCATCAGCTGGAGGTGGAACCTATACAGATAGAGGAAGCCACACAGCCCCTAAGCAACCTTCTGGGAGCCCTGAGCAGGAA